GCAATTATTTACATACCCGTATATTGAGCTGGCCAGCGGATTACATTTGTGAATGGCTTCAGAGCGGATTTCCAGGCGAACTGACACCGCAACGATTCGTTCGTCGATTCGATTCAGACAAAGTCCTGCCACAAAACTGGGATTTGCTGGGTGGATCCCCTACTCATACTCTGCGCCTCTAGTGTTGACAAGGTTTAAAGATAAAAAAACTATTTTTTTCGAAATTGAACTCGAAAACCACATCATTAACAACATATTTAAGCTTACAAAAGAAAGTATTTTCTAGATTTTTAAAAAATTAAATACAGGTTTTTATCAACACAACTGATAACTTGAGCCTTAAATACTTCAAGTTTATACAAGCGAAATTTAAATGTTTTTATAATTTGTAATAATGGTTGAACCTCTCGTATATTAATAAAAGGTCAGGATAATTTTGTAAAAGTTTAGTTTAGTTTTTATTGACAACATGTATTTGCTTTTTTCATAATAATTATTTTTTTTATACCCTTGCAGAGGGTATTATAATTTTGGTCAGAAGTTTGTAACGCAGTGAAGGAGACGTTTCCGACCCCATAAAGTATATATATTCTTGATCAGGATCAATAGGGGAGTCGATATAGCCATGTCCGTCTGTCCGTCTGTCCGTCTGTCCGTCTGTCCGTCTGTCCGTCTGTCCGTCTGTCCGTCTGTTTCAATACCGTTTGCGAGCTCAGTTTAAAAGCTAGCGATCTGAAACTTTCACAATCGCCCTAAAACATGTGTACGCAGATCAAGTTTGAAAATCGCCCCGATCGGACGTCTATATCCTATAGCTCCCATAGGAACAATTGGATATATCTTGCAAGAATTTATGATATTTCGCGCAGTGTAAAAGCTATTGACATTAATCTTTACAAATCGTATTTTTTATGCATACCTTGATCAGGGTAAAAGCGCGTGGCGATCGGACGTCTATATCCTATAGCTCCCATAGGAACAATAGGGTAAAATCGGTTAAAATTTAAAGATTTTTAGGATATTTCGCGCAGTGTAAAATCTATTGACATAAATCTTTCCAAATCTTATTTTTATGCGTACCTTGATCAGGGTAAAAGCGCGTGACGATCGGACGTCTATATCCTATAGCTCCCATAGGAACAATAGGGTAAAATCGGTCCAAATTTGATGTTTTCAGAATATTTCGCGATGTGTAAAAGCTATTGCTGTACATTTTTCAAATCGTATTTTTTATGCATTCCTTCATCAAGGTAAAAGCGCGTGCTGATCGGACGTCTATATCCTATAGCTCCCATAGGAACAATACGATGAAATCGGTCAAAATTTCATGTTTTTAGAATATTTCGCGCAGTGTATAAGCTATTGACATACGTCTATATCCTATAGCTCCCATAAGAACAATAGGGTGAAATCGGTCCAAATTTGATGATTATCAGAATATTTCGCGCAGTGTGTAAGCTACTAACATAAAATTTTCCAATTCTTATTTATTTACGCATATCTTGATTAGGGTAAAAGCGCTTGCCGCTCGGAAGTCTATATCTTAAAGGAGATAGTAAAAATTGTTAAAGGCTGCGAAAGTATCCCTTTTGTATATGACATTTTTGCAGTATAAAAGCAATTGACTTGAAACGATGCAAATAGTTTACTTATGTATACCTTATTCCTTTCGCTACTTTTTCACTTTTAGCAATTTCGTCAAAGTCTGCAAGGGTATTAAAACTTCGGCTTGCCGAAGTTAGCTTCCGTCCTCGTTAATTACTGAGACCACTTTAATAACGACAAACAATTTATAATATTTCAAAAGTAAATAGTAAATTGGCTTTTAAACCAATAAACATTCGATTATTGAGATTATTTAATTTATAATTAAATTCAGGAATCAAGGAAAAAAGCTAAACTGGCGGCACTGCTCTCAGGAGGTACAAGTGCGCAAAGGACTGCTACTCGAATGTCGAACAGGCGTGCAACAGTTTGCTCGGCGATCCGGTCCGGCGAGACGGGAGATGTCCACCCCCGGTACTGGATGTTTCCACAGCCCCACCCATCCCATCGTGGATGCAGTGCTTCCGGAGTGCGCACGGGCCATTGTGCTCGGCTTAAGCGAAACGGCTTTCATTTACATCAATGCTCCTGTTGTGGCCTCCTACACCGGAAGTGTCTCATTGACCATCCATCCGGCTGCATGCGCTGTCACGCCTCACGTCTTTGCCCCGCCCATGTGTGAGGCTTGTTTTAGCCCACTTCCTGCCAGGACATTGTCCATCCCTCCATTTGTACTCGTCTGGCTGGGCGGCAGTCGCCACCCCACTCGGCTGCCGTTCGACTAACGCATTAATCCTTGCTTTGATTTAGGACCAATGAGTGTGAGATCCCAATGGCAGCTCATGCAATGCACATTGTGCCCTTCCGTCGCATTAGGTCGCTTCTCTCGGTACTCATAAGAGTACGACATGATGTCTAGCAAATCGAATGAACTCTCTGGGCTCAGGACTGGTCCTAATTCGAATCGACAGACAGCAGCAGGTTATCCTGTAACCACAGAGTGTCCTGGCCAACTTGTCCCCGATTGCCAGCTGATTTATCTTGCATCAGGCTGATTAAATGATGCTTTGCGGCGACTTCCCTGCTTCAAGTGGCTAATCCCATAACACACTTGAGATCGGGAAATACACAAGACATGTAACAGTCAAATTAGCTTGTCATAAATTTGTCAAACAAAGATAAGATCAAGAATTTGTAAAAATTAATGAAGAGCAATTTTAATTTCTTCAAATCGATTTTTTGGATAATTGGATAACACCATAACAAAAATAAAAAAAACCTCAAATCCGTTCAACATTTCAGAGCAGATTATTAGAGAACTTTTAGACTGAAACTTAAAAGTTCGAGGCAAGAATTAAAATTTGTAGAACTTTCTGTACTTGAAATTCAGCTTTAATACAAAACTTTGATTTTTTAAAGGGTAATTGCGACTGCATATAGGAAATAATGAGGCTTTTTACTGGTTATCCCGAGCAGTCAAGTCTATCCCCACCCGGTCAATCTAACCATGTGGCCCGTGGTTCTGTCCCAGTTTGAAGTTTCCATCATTTCCACATTGAACGCTCTTTAGCCCCAGGGGCTGATTCAGCTGTTCGTTGCGGCCTTTGCGCGTCCTGCCACTTCGGCACGTTTCCTGGCCAATCCATCGGAGCCACTGATGCCGTGGGTCAGGGTTAATGCTGCCTCATCAGGAGCTGCCCCAGCGGTGCTCTCGGCGGCTGCAGCTCACCATTAAGCACGCCGTTCCTTTGAGCCGGTTGTCCATCACGAGGAACCGCTGCCAGTGATGGAAATTCTGCATCCTCGCTACACCGAAATTAAAATCAGATAAATTCATCTTCAAGAGGGCCTTCCATTATTGGAAACTCATTTTAAATAATTCTTTCTTTACTCTTCGATATTAAAAGAAAATATTGTGATGTGCATTGGCTAGAAAAACAATTCAAAATGTATTTATTGTTAAAGCTTTCGGAGAAAGTGCGCAAATCTCAGTTTGTTTTCAATTTGTACAAAAAATATTCAGTATGGAAAATAGCGAAGCTTTATCTTGATTTTATTTTCGCTTTCAATTTCTGTGATGGAAAATTACTTAATACATTTTAGATGCGCTTGGAATAATATAAATAAATATGTTCTGTGTATGGAGCATTCAATGAGCCGAGGGCTCGGAGCTATCTGCTGCTAAACACGGAGGGTCCGGCATCGGGCATAATGATGGCCATCGGCGAGATGCGAGGTGGCTCCTTCGCAGAACATCTCCGGCTGGCTTGCTGAGTGGCAATTGGTGTTGACATGCCTTTCATTTTAGGCGACAGCGCTTCCTGCTAGGCCAATTTAACCAGGCCAACAATGGAGCGTTTGTCAAGGTAGGAATCATCGGACAAGAGCCATCGGCATGAGCCGTATAGCCTGACATCCTAGCTAACTTTTTTGAGATGATTCCACTTTTGTAACTGCACAACCAGAGCGGTGGGGCTTTGAAATGTGATCCTAAATCTGCACCCATAATACAATTTGTTTTTGCGTAAATAAAATCTGTAAATCAAATATTAAATTACTTTACATAAATTACCTTAGGTAATCTCTCATCATAAATCAAAAGCATTCGTCATTTTTTTATTTATTACAATAAAAAAATACAATTTCAAATGTGCTGAGAGCATTAATTCAAATTGGAATGAAACGAAATTGGCATTTTAATTAATTAGCTGAATTTGAAACAATTTATTAGAATGATGGGATAAAAAAAGATTATTTTAATGTTATTTGATTCTGTAAAGTTTACTCCATTATATACTAAAAAGTCAATAAGGTTTAAAAGCAATCAATGGTATATTGGGGCATTCATGTTTAATTTCTTTCTTTCAATGTTGCTAACAAAAATGGCATCATAAAATTTTCCTGCTGCTTTCATGAAAGTCAATGGCCGCCAGGACTCTGATAGCAATGGGGCTGAAACTTCAGACGGCGACGCCGTTTTTATGATATGTCAAAAAACAGTGAAATTGTAGTTGTCCAATGGAATATAAATGGCAGACGAAATTGTATTTCGTCTGCTCCTTCTGGCCGCCATTCAGGCCATTGCATTTGGCGACGTCTTCGAGTCTTATGCAACGGAAGCGGAAATGATAATACAGTTGACGTGCAACGGCCAGGAGGATTTTGCAAACATTTCGAATGCTCGGAACTCTTTCAGCGGGCGTGGCTGCGGGCCATCCAATCGCAGTTGTCTGTGTCACTTTATGCGTGCCAGTAAATATCATCTCCGAATTGATGGACTTTTGTTTGCCATCGATGGCTCGCGCCGATGGCTGAATGGCAAAGCTGGGGGCGCCGAGAGCTTTGTTCGACTCCAGATTGGAGCTTGCCAACCAGTTTGGCGGCTCAAAAGCTCCGCGCATGAGGTAAGCGGAGCGATCGATCCGCGTACCGCTCACAGAATTGAGCGTGAACACTTGGCGAACGGTCGACCAGCGGACCGAGCGAAATACAGTGCTAGAAACAGAGAAAGAAAAAGAGACAGAGACAGCCAGAGAGGCGGTGAAAGAGAGAGAGAGCAACAAGTTTGCCAGTGGAAATTTTAGTAACGAAATGCAGTGAATACCATACCCCCCTGACCAGTGAATGCAACAAACTGGCTTAAAAACAGTCAATAAACCGATCTAAATACAAAAAACTCGAAACTATACAAAAGCCCATTATGAACACAAAGGCCGAGGCAGTGAAACAATACGCTGAGTGAATCTAGAGTTAAGCGTTTCGAAAAGTCAGAGTCAAAAACAAAACCAAATTAAAAATCAAAACCAAAACAGCAACAAGTGAAAGATCCAGACAAAGACGGCCAGAGCGGGAGGCCGCGAGTGAGAACGAGACAGGCAACGACGAGACTTTCGCATCTGAGGTTGATTTTTGCATGCCGAGAGAGATACAGCTACGCTAGAGCTACAGATTCAGTGATCCAGTAGCTAGAGCCTGAGAAAATATCTGCAAACACCATTACATTGTTATTGCCGAGACGGACAGCCAGTCAGAAATGGAGTACGAGAAAATGCTGTACATGCCAGGCGGTGAGGTAAGTCGAGCACATCGCATCTTGGCGATAATGTATCTGTATCTGCTTGAAAACATAGCTGTAGCGCAACTATATGGCTGATAGTTGATAACCTTTCGCCCGCCATTATCATTATCGGCCAGTGAAGTCGGAATCGGAATCGGTATCTGTATCTGTCGCCCCACGAATATTATGCGCAGTTTGGCGGCAGTAAAGCTGCGGCTTTTTAATTAGCAGAGCATCTCGTGTAGGCGGCAGAAGTATCTTACAGTTCGCATCTGGAAACTCACAGCTCGCAGCTTGCAACTCGCATCTCGCGAATGCGTGTCACTGGGTGAGAGTAGCTCCCATCCACTTGCCAGTTACATTTTCGCATTTGTCTTATGGCATTTCGCTTTAATTACAATAACAGCAATAGCAACAGTAGTGGCAGTGCCAACCAACGATGGCAGCAACTTTCAAAAGATGCTTTCATTTTGCAAGAAGTGATTCTAAATGATTGTCAACTATGGCATGACAACAAACAGTGCCACAAACGCCGAGTAAGAGCTGCCATGTCGGCCTGAACTGGCATTTCACTCGGAAAGTGCATTCCAATCCAGCAGATACTTTTTGTTGGACCTACTTAAGCCCCATAGGCGATGTACGCAAGTCTTTGACGTTTGTCGCTGCTGCCAGCATTGCAATAAAAGAAAATACAGAAGCGTCAAGGCAAAAAAAAAAACTTGTATTTACCATTTTTGATTGATTTGATGGAAATGTGTCTCCTTGCTTTTCCAATCGCTGACACAGAAGCAGACGGCTTGGAACAGCGCTTAGAAATGCACTGCGAGATACCAAGATAGCCAGATTGCAAGACTACAAGACTGCCTGCGGCAGCCACACTCATGTCTCATTATATTTATGGACATAATAAAATAAATACTACTGCCAACAATTATAAATGCAAGCCGCTTTCGCAGCTCAGCCACGCTAAGCCGAGACGAGTCGAGTTTAGTTGAGTTGAGGAAAACTCGACATGACATAAATACTTCAACTTGTCAGGTTTTCTTTCCCTCAGCGCCAGGCCTTTCCATTGAGAATCCATCGAGAGTGGCATTTCTAAGTTCGCTCCGTCAAGGGCCCTATCCTATTCTATCCAGAACGGCTGGTTATCAATCAAACCGATTATACAATAATAATCACTTTTTGGGTGTGGCTCCCTTCTTGGCCAATGTTGTGGCCCATGCACTCAACCAAATTACTTTTTCAGATTTGGAATAAAACCTTTAAGAAGTACTTTGTTGGTAGCCTTTCGATTTGTAACATTTTATTATTTGGAATTAAAATATCTTCTTTACATTACGTATAACTAATCATAAACATTGGCACTAAAATATTTTTGAACGCTTTTTAACGAGTTTTTTTTTATGTCTGTGAAATGGTATTTCGCTACACGGCTGTACAAAAATGTATAATCTGCAAAGCTTTTAAAATACCCATTCCTGACATAATTAAAAAATCTGTCTTTGAAAAATATTATAACCAAAATATATTTTTAAAACTAACATAATCTCATTAATAGCAAAAAAAGCATTCCTTATTTTCACATATATTTATGGACATTATTTTAACATAAGGAATGCATTTTTTGCTTAAAGCTTTACAAAGTTTTTTATAAAATGTTATTTAATTTAAATATTGGATATTTTTCAAAAGTTTTAATTTCTTCACGAAGGTTTGGAAATTTAAAATGTTCTCAGTGTATGGCTAAATTATTGCCATGACAGCCTGTGGTTGCCGCTCTTGTCTTGCGGCTTCAACATTGAATCTCGCCAGGCTTTTATGCAAATTGAAATGAGTTGGCTTCGCAACGTCTTTTATACGGAATAATTGCCAGTGCGTGCAGTGCATAATGAGCGCAGAAGGGATTGGATTTGCAGGGTTCGGTGCCTAGACATAAGCGCATTCCTGGCCATTCCTGTCCAGAGTGTGGGAGTGGGCCGAGAGTCCAGGGTCCCAGCCAGGTCGTGAGTGCCATTCAGGCGGTGGGTGTGTGTCTGGCTTGTCCATCAGGAGAGTGTCCAAATAGTTATCAGCCGGGTTAATGTGCGGCATACTGAGAAGTGGCATCAAGTGATCTTGAGCTCTTGAGTATGTGCCCAATGAAAGCAGGGGCGTTAATTAATTTGACTCTTAGTTCTTAGTGGATTTCCCAACGACATGCAACCGGAACATTCTGGGTCGCTGCAGTTGTCCAGATACTTGGCATATTAAACAGGCTGCAAAGAATGCAGCATAATTGAAATGTTGCACCCATTTGAGATATTTATTAACCTCGCTGCCAGCCATTTATCTAGCATGAAATGTCGACAATTAAATGCAATGCAAATAGAGAAAAACGAAGAACGAAGAATGGCGGGAACTGCACACAGAGTTTGCACCGTCACGAAGTGGCTAAAACCAACACCAAACTGCGAACACACAGATACTGGCACACAACAAAAAGCCAGAGATACAAAGAATACAGATACACAGAATAATGAGTGAAACAAACAGAAGGCAGTGGCAGTCGGGCGATGTAAAAATAAGCAGAAATAAGTCTTGTCTCTTTGACAGCTTAACCCACGCATCCGAGAGCTGGTAGATTGTACGTGGATACCGCCGGGGGATTTGCCAGAGTATCTCTATCTTTGTGTCTCGTTGTGTGTGTGTGTGTGTGTGTGTGTCGGTGTGCTTATGCTGTTGACAGCGCACTTCAACATGGCCATAACCCCACCCCCCGGCCCTCCACCTATGTATGCTACATCGTATATAAGTATCCAATCCCTAAGCGCGAATAAAGCGAACATTCATTAAACAAACAATTTGCGCTTGCGCATCGGGTTAAAGAAGGGTTGGGGGGGTCAGTTTGACTTGGGTTTTGCTGGCAGTTCCATTGCCATAATGCGATTAGAACAGATTACCTGACAATTGTCGCCAGTTGGAGCCAACTGAGCTCCGAACACCTGAGGTTGCGACCGTGCGGCATTAGCATAGTTTGTTTATTTAGTTCAAAGATACATATAAATTAATTTAAATATCACCTGGCCATAACTCAGCGGCATGTCAGCGCTCAAGGCCTTTAAAGCTGCAGTTGCAACTGTTCTGTTGGCCGTTGTGAACTGGCCAAGTTAATAACGTACATGTCTGCCTGCCTACCCTTCACTCCCACCTTTTGTCTGACTTCGATTTCAATTCCGATACTGACTCTGATTCTGACTCTGATTCTGATTCTGATTCTGATTCTGGGGCCAACCAAGGTCTCCTTTGTCTATGGGCCTGGGCGCGCCCCGTGTAAGATGTGGTTAAATGGATTTATATAGATCGGTCGTGAGTTCGCCTTAGGCGTTGGCCAGTCCGTCCATTCGTTCCATTTATTATACGCGGGTACGACAATAAGCTGCCTGCTACCCAGAGTGCTATCTGATCGCAGCTTTTAATAATGCTTTTGTCGTTCTTAAAACGTAAACTTGATTTTATTATTAGGCGAAGGCACAAGCAAGCACAGGCACACACTCACGGCAAGGCAAATAAATATGCCACATTCTTGACAGTGGCTTTGACTTGTTCTAATGAATTTTGTTTGAGCTGGCCAGCCACAAAAATCATAAAACTTGTTTTTCTGTTGCTTTTTTGTGGCCTCGGTTGAAGATATTTTCAATTTATTACGGACCCCTCTTACTCTCTCCCATTCATTGCCGAAATATTATTGTTGCTAATTCGGGTAAGGGTTTTTCAATTTACTGGCTCTAAAAGGGAAATCAAATTCAACATGCCACTGCTTTTGACAGCACCGCAAAATGTTTGCTTTAACTTCGTCTTTATATCTGATTTCCACATCGACATCGTTGGCTTTATTTTGATTTGATTTGGTTCGGCCTGGTCTATTTTGTCTTTTCTTTTGTTTGGCCATTCGACTTTGTCTTTTGTTTTTGCTGGAAAATGAGTTTTTATCAGCCTGCTGGAATTTTAATAAATTCGGCATATTCGATTTATTTTCTCGTCTCTGCCCGTTTGAAATGAGTCAGCTTTGAAGTTATGGCATTTTGCTTGTTCAAAATTTCTCAAATTTGATTGGTATTAAAGACTTTCGGTGCCAATGCGTGTCAGTCGACATGTGAATTCCTGGGTATTAGATCGGATCTGAATATTCGAGTGAACACCATTAGTCATTATTCGTGTTCCTCGATAAGAGTTTTCATCGAATCGAGTACCGAGTAATAATGTATCCTGTTTGTAAACAGGTGGAAAGCCCAGAACTTATTATATTTCCCTTTCACCACTCCACTCTCAGCGCCCACACTCCACATGCCATATCATTTCTGTGCCTTTATAAATTATTTTAAAAATAGAATTGCCGGCTATATGTGTCTATTATGAAGCTGTGGTTTTTCTAAAAATACAATCCACACCTGACAGCCACTTGGAAAGAGCCGGGCCAAATCCTAATTGCTGCCGGGCTCATTGTTTCCATGTCCCGCCTTTGACACCAACCGCTTGGTGATCGATAACAAACGCAAAACAGGCCGAAACAACCCATTTGTGACGTAGATGGGTGCGGGTGCTATTGGTACGTCGACATATCAGTATTCCAATATATCGTATATGTTGCGATTCGATATGTTCCCTTCTTGGCCCCGATCTATCCCCCCCCTCACGTACACAACTTGGCCCAAACAAAAGCGTTTATTGACAGCCGCCCCATGTCGGACACGCGAATGAAATATTACCGGCCAAGAGCGTTTGGCCACAAAAAAGCCTTTTGTCCGCATCTCTTTCCAGCATTTGGGAACTCCGATTCTGTCAGAAGTTCTGAGCTTGTTTTCTCGGCTTTTGTAGAACGAGATTTAATTAAAATTTACGAGTACACCACATGATTCAGATCGCCGAGGTCTTTGTTGTTCGGCCCGAAGCAGCAGGAAATCCATTTACTGGAATAACCCGAATGATCTAATTCGGCCAGCTGCGAGGATGTGGGCTTGTCTAAGGGTAGGAGAATATTATATGGCAAATAAATCAAAGTTTGAGCAAAAAAAAATGCAAATTCTGACCGTTTTTATTGGTCTTAGATGTGAATATTTATTAGCCTTATTTTGCATTACCTATTTAGAGAGTCTTTCGTTCAATAGGTTGTCGCCGACCTTTTTCTCCGGGAAATTTATGAAGGGAACGAGGTGGTCAGTTAAAAGCCATAAAATGTAAAACGGGGATAGTTTTTATTTTCAATAATTTTTAGAAACTGTTGTGGGATGTCAGGAAGGAGAGTGTAATAACTAGTTGACATTTTTTCAGCCTGTCTGTCCCTTAATGGTCCATAAATGGTGCCTAGCAGCTCAATTTATTATGCAGTTTTTGCCGAGCAATCACAATTTTTATTATGGCCTTTTGACTGAGTCATTGGCTGCAGCTGCTGAATCATGTCCTAGGTTTTCCTTGGTACTTGGATATTGACTCCAAACCAAGCTGGGATTCGGGTGAAGTACATCGCTTGGATATCGCTCTAATAATATGCAGATTACGCAAGGTAATCACCGAGTGCTAAGGCAAAATCGAAATGTTTGCGCTGGCAATTAGCGGGCAGGCGAGAAAAGCGAACTGAAATCACTCATACGCCCCGTTGTTAAACAATTAAAACACAGAAATTGTAATAACATCGTGACTAGTTAGAACTATGGCGTCGTCGAGCGCAGATAAATATTAGCAATGTTCACCACCTTCCCCTGAGAGCTAAAAGTACTAGTCGGAAAATCCAGTATGAGCTGTTTTATTAATAATAAGCACACAGCGCATAGCCATATTCAATACACCCCCCTGGGGCACCCACAAACCTCTCAGCTGCATTCGGTTGCTTAATGAAAAACCAGTTTGTCGAAGGTAAAAATTGGTAGCGCATTCGGGCCGTATAAGCATCGCCCATTTTTATGACGCTTTGTAAATAAATAAATAAAAAAAAAATAAATAAAACGCCAGCCTAGGGAGAGCGGATTGTGGGATGGCGGTGAAGCCCAGAGCTGGGAGAACGCTTTGATTTTGATCTAGTCATTGTTTGGCCGCTCGTAAAAAGCACACACACCCCCTGCTTCATGGGGCTCTGGGTTTTTTTCCTTTTCGCAGCTGCCTTCTGTGGCGTCACAGTCGAAGTCGCAACTTGATAAATGAGAAAATCAATGCCACTTGGAGCTTAGTACGCCTCCTGCTCTTGTCTCGTCGGCTTCGATTCCGTGGATATTCTAAGGTTAAGCTCAGTCCCCAACTCAACTCAATCAGAACCGAATCAGATCCGAAAATTTCCATACTTTGTCAGGTAGGTGCTGCGAGTACGAATTAGAAAGGCGGCTGCACATACGCAAATTCCAACTGGAAGCGGAGAAATAAAACAAATTAACTTTCATGGGCGTGATAATTAAGACAGGTGGCCGCGATTTGGCATCTCAGATCGCCGGATAATTAGTGAGGCTCCGGCAAGATGGCGCCATAAGTGTTTAGATTTTCAATTAGCAGCCGGTGGCCTGGCTCTCTTTTTTAACCAAAAAGTCCAATTCTTGTATGCACTGGGAGAATTTATATTTTTTTGTTACTAAAATATCAAGCTTGGTACTTGGTATTTTCGAATTAAGCCAAAAATATTGGAAAAAAGTGAACTTAAATTAAAAGGAAAATCATTTTCGTTGTTGAGTTAAAAAATTTAAAATCTGGTTTTAGTAAAATCATGTTTACATATTTTTTTAAATAAACAAATTTAATAAAATTTTTTTTAAATATATTATTTTGCAATAAATATGAGGTTGTAGAAATTGGTTCACTCATGTTTCTTACTGTGTACTAATCTTCTGGACCACTTTCTTTATTTCTCCGCAGATGCCGCACAGTCCGCAGCTGAAGCCACATCAGTTCCAGGCCCAGACGCCGCCGGATCAGTACTCTGCCTATGCGGACAACTTCGACCTTTCCTTGCTGCCGCAGGAATCCGCCCCCATTCCCACCACCGTCTTCCAGTACAACGCTCCCCAGATCAAGGTCGAGTGCACCTGGGACAGCCAGCCCCTGCAGCAGCAGACCGCGACATCCTATCCCGCCTCCAGCCACCAGCTGATCCCGCCACCCGCCTACCCCCACAGCGCCTACCCCTCCCCGCAATCCAGTCCGCTGCAGTCGGAGTTTGCGGCCTACGGATTCGGTCGATTTGGTGGCAGCTACGACAGTTTGAACAGCCCTTCGCCTTCCTTGGAGGCGGTCAGCATTAAGCAGGAGCTGCACATCCTACCGCCCTCTCCGCCGGAGTCCAATTGCGAAACCCCCTCGCCCCGATCCTCCTGCGGGGAGAGCATCAAGGCGGAACCCTTGGATGCGGACATCGAGAGCCTCATCGATCTGAACACACTGCTCCAGCAGCAGACCCTGCAGGACACCAAGCCCGATCACCAGCTGCTGCGCGAGTGCCTGGAGGACACCAGCTTCCAGAAGCGACACAACCTGAAGCCACTGGCTCTGGAATCCTTCATCGGTGGCTTGGCCGAGGTGCGCGGGGACTTTGAGCCGGTCATTTCGCTGGCCCTGGAACATGCCAAACGGGAGGCGGACGCCATCTGCGCGGAGCTGCAGATATCGCAGGGTGAGTTGGAAATACCCAAATTATTAATTAAGGTTAATATAATCAAATGTTTTCCTCGTCCAGATCCGAATGGCTGGTCGCCCGCCCAAGTACACGCATGGCTACGATCCACCTTGGCCCAATTCAGACTGCCACCGGTGGGCGATTTGGAGCTGCAGTTCTGCGAAGACGGTGCCGCTCTGACATTACTCAGCGAGGAGGAATTCGTGCGTCGATTGCCCGAGGTGAGTCCAACAATCAATCACACATTCACTGTCAGAAAAGTGTCGCAGAAATCTCTAGAGATTTCCATTTCAGTTGGCTTCGGTTGAGGTACAGTTTTCTACCTAGATACAACAATTGGGAGTCCATAAAATATATTTTTAGATTTATATACAGTTTTTATACTCTGTGAACGGGTTTGATTTAAGGGGAGCTACTAGATATTTTATTGAAACAAGTATATTAGATAGTATTGGGTTCTAATCATTAACAACGGGTTTTAAATTATCAAAGTGAAAAAATACTTAAACGCAAACAATTTGGTAGTTGCTAACTTAATTATTTGATTAATTTTATATTCCGAAATTTTGTCGTCACATTTTGAAAACTGATGACACATAAAAACTGTTCTGTTTCATTGGTCACCAGTTATGCTACCAAAAGCACCTGTGTATTTCCAAATTTCCGCGAAACTATAACCATTTTCAATGACACTTAGACCATAGGTTAGGAATTAACTGGAAATATTTAAGCCATAAGAAGAGTGAGTCAAATACGTATGACTTAACTGGGCGAGTGCCAAAATAGTTGGGCATATTACAAAATCGATCAGCACAAAGCAACGGGCCAATAGCCCATGGCGCATAAAACAATAACACAATGCAAATGCCAATAGCAAAGAGCCAATATGCGGAGAGGCCCAATCAATGCGATTGAATTGAATTTCGCGTACGGGCCGAAATGGAATGGAAATGTTTAAAAACAACAAAGAGCAAAACAAAACGAAACGATACGATACGATACGAAAACTAAAACGAAACAAGTTTCGTAACTGGCGTTGACGTCATGGGTGCCAGCCAGAGCGGCTTACAGGCCCAGTCGGAATCAGAAATCAGAAAGCAAAACGCAAAACTTAAAAGCCAAAGCTCACTCGGCAGTCGTCAGTGGCTAGTCCTCAAACCCCCAAACCTGTTGCCAGCAATTAGGCAGAGCTGGCGGCGTCTAAAACTACTCCACATCCACATCCATCCAGCGAACATGTGCTCTCGCAAGCTGTCGAGAGTTTTGCCAAAAATATATCAATGATTACATTCGCCTAGGCTCGTTAGGCGCTTGTGCTGGCTGCTCTTGCTACCGAAGAGAGTGCAGTAAAAAGGGCAGAAAACAAAAGACTTAGGCAACGAACGCGACGGCGAGCGCCAACGAAATCGGAGAGCAGTAAGTCGCAAAAGAAACAAAATTAGTAACCGTGGTCATGGCTGTAAAGGTGAAAGAATGTGTGAAGGTTGTTTGGTGAAACTGCAGCACTTGGACGGATGATTACGAGCCATTGCCGCAGCTCGGATGACAGTCAGAGGGGGGCAGAGGGGGGGTATTGGTGGACTTGGGGGGGAGGAGCGGACTGGCAGCACTCGAACTGAGCCAACGACCAGCAACGACATTGCAAGGTGAAAGTAAGTCGTCGCCGTTGTCTCTGGTTGCCGTTGTGTTGTTGTTGCTTATACTACCACCACTACTACGACCACTTCGGCTGCCAATGCAATGCAGCTTGGACCACGGAGACTGCACATAATTTATGCACTTGGATAGCCTAAGAATTTCCAATTGATATGCCGTCTAGATTGCGATCTGGCCAGGATTAAGGCTCTGTGCCCATTCGAAGTGTCTCACTTTCGGCTTTCTTTTCAGAGTGGGAGCACGCTGCACGCCCAGTTGGAGATTTGGAAGATGGCCTACGCCGACCAGCCCGCTCATCAGCAGCAGCATCAGCATCAGCAGTCGCACCAGTCTGCGAGCACTGATCTCTGGTCGGCCAGCTATGCGATGCCCAATTTGGATCTGGACTACAACGAGGACAGCGAAGGTGAGTTGTACGGCTGGAAAAGCGAAGGTGATTTGCATAGCCTTAAAAACAGTACATTATTATTAGGATGTTGGGGCATTACAAACCATTACAAGTCAAGAGCTTTTGAGTAGCTTTTAAATGTAAAACTTTTCTTTCTAATATATTTACTATTAGAAAAAATAATAAAAGCCGATAAAATTATATGTCAACAACATATTAATAATATGACTGGTTGTTCATAAAACTAAAAATTTCCTTTTGAATTTTCAAATTTTTAAAACGTGAAATTATTGGTAATTTAATATAAAAATGGTTCTCTGCTTTGATTATGCAAATATTCTGTTAAGAATAAAATCATCAAGGACTAGATCCACAGATACTTAAGAATATTCCATCGGTTTCAGAACTTTTGTTGTTATATTTATTTAAATTCTAAAATGATATAATTGTTTAATTCGAAGGTGAAAAAGAATAGATTTTTTGACTTTTTAAAGTATAATATAATGTTAATATAACTAGTTCTATGCAAGAAAATATTAACTTGTATTTTCCCTTTGAAATAGGTGAGGATGAAATGGAAACAGAAGCAGCAATCACGCCACTGACCAGCAGCTCAACTTCGCCGCCCGTAGCCACGCCCACCACCGGCGGTACATCTACGGCAAAACGACCGAATGGAGGACGGACCGGCGGCGGTGGCTCCCACATCCACCTGTGGCAGTTCCTTAAGGAGCTGCTGGCCTTGCCGCAGGTGAACGGCACGGCCATCCGGTGGATCGACCGCAGCAAGGGAATCTTCAAGATTGAGGACTCGGTGAGGGTGGCCAAGTTGTGGGGCCGGCGCAAAAACAGGCCGGCAATGAACTACGACAAGCTGTCCCGCTCCATCCGGCAGTACTACAAGAAGGGCATCATGAAGAAGACGGAGAGGTCGCAGCGACTGGTCTACCAGTTCTGCCATCCCTACAGCCAATAACAGCTCATGTTGGCCAGTTATTTATTGCTAGTTGTAAGTGGTACTCCTGACCGACCCACCTGTCCCGATCCGTTATGATCCGTTATGATCCGTTACGATCCGATCCGATGACTATGCTCGACTAGCCTTGTGGGCCTAGCGAGTTCTAGTTCCAGTCCTTGTACATATCCACTCACAATCTTGTTAGGCACGAAGGTAAGTTCGTGCATCGATTAAGTTTGGCTCTAGATTAAGGTCAAACCTGTGCCCGCAGGCGAAGGTAAGTTCGTCGGGGCAGGGTTTTAAGTGACCCCCCAGTTTCACCGCAATCGATCGTAGATCTAACTCCGATCCCGCACTGCAGCTGGTAATACGGCTGCATCTGCGCATGTTTGACTTACCGGCGACATCTTTATTCAACTGCTGCCTGTCCATGCGAAGGATGACGACCCACCAGGAGGATGTCCTGTGGCTGGAGTGGCTTCTGGAGCTGGGACCGCCATAAGTAGTCTGAGACGAAATTGGTTTCAAGGTCGCAGCATGCAGAGCTCTCCGCGAAAACGGCCACAGTCAACGGACTAACCTGTCGGGAGCATCCTTCGCTGGCAGCATGAAGGTGTCGAGGTAATTTTAGGAACCATATATCTATGATATATCAAAAGTAAGTTCTATGAACAACTTAATAAGCGAACAAATGTTAATAGTAGTGTTAAGGACCCTCGATTAGCCATAGGTTCCCTTGAAAGTTTTTTCTCTTCCCCGCAAAAAAAAGTTAAAAATCTTTCGACTTCGTCCGATTATGCTATAACTCACAACGTTATCAATTATTTATTCATTACCAGGTGGCGGTTCAATTTAGACATATTTCGTTTCACTTTATTTTGATTATACGCAATTAGCATAATTCGTGCATAATTTTCTCTAGTTTCGTTTGTGTGACGGGTAGCGAGTTTAAGTTAATTATACCCGTTACTCGTAGAGTAAAAGGGTATATTGTATTCGTGCAAAAGTATGTAACAGCTAGAAGGAAGCGTTTCCGACCCTATAATGTATATATATTCTTGATCAGGGTCACTAGCCGAGTCGATATAGCCATGTCCGTCTGTCCGTCTGTCTGTCCGTCTGTCTGTCCGTCTGTCTGTCCGTCTGTCTGTCCGTCTGTCTGTCCGTCCGTATGAACGCTGAGATCTCGGAAACTATAAAAGCTAGAGGATTGGCATTTTGCATGCAGATTCTAGGAGTTCCTACGCAGGGCAAGTTTGTTTCAAAAAGGTGCCACGCCCCCTTTAACGCCCACAATCGCTTATATACGATTTTAAAAATTTAAATATTTCGGAAAAGTAAAAATGCAGTTTTATTGTGTTTATCAATACCTATCGAAATGTTGAAGAAATTTTTCAAATCGGACCATTCGTTAAAAAGTTATGCGTGATCAAAGTTTCTATCTCCATCTCCCTCGCACTCCCTTTACCTGAGTAACGGGTATCTGATAGTCGGGGCACCCGACTATAGCGTTCTCTCTTGTTTTAATATTTATTCGCTGGCCCAGCCGAGCGGTGAAATTATGGAAAGTCAATTATTCTTCTGATATTTGCATTAGCCATAATGCACGCTCTTTTATTAAATTATGCCACGGCCAATTGGCTGCTTGGCTTATTTTGTTAACCAAATAGAACAGTTACCGTTTATGAAAATATTTATACGCATATATTACGCCTAATTAGGACATTGCCTGCCTGGCAACTAGATTTATGCACTTTACACTTTTTACAACACACCAATTATTTATTTATTTATTCAACTAACATATTGTCATGCTACACTATCGGATAATAAAAATCTCTGCAAAAAACTATTGCCAATTACGGGTGTATTTACATTAAATCTGTGTCGGTATTTTCAGTTTGTAATCGAACAGGAATTGAAACTGAAACTGTATCCAATGGTATTTCTGCAGTAATCGGAGGAGCTGCTCTTGTGCAGCCAGCAAAACATTTTAGATTGCCCTGTCAGTCGGTCACTGCAGTCGTGTGTGACCGATGCGATTTTCAATCAGCGAAAACTATTTTCGGGCCCTTGTTAAAATCATCGATGGTTTTGGAGAGGAATAGATGACCCCCCAGTTTCGAATGCATGCAAAGTTTGGACCGGATTATCAGCGCTCTATATTAAGTTGCTGCCTCGACTGAGATTAATTTAATGCGCCCGAATGAGTTCATCGTCTTTGTTGTCCCACGACCATGGCCCACACTCCAGTTCCATCTCCTTCATTTAAATACTAAATCGCATTAAATGCCATCAAGTGGAAAATTCCCAAAAGCAATAAATTCATTCCTTCCAGCCGCTGGGGCTGCTCTCACTTTCTGAGTGAAAGCTCCACTCCGTTCCGCGCTCTCGACAATATTTGCATTATCCCGTAGACGGGCGGGCTGTTTATCCTGAGCCGGCAGCCTTGGCTTTCTCTTTGTCTTCTGGGCTTGGGATTCGGTCCTCATCCTTATCCTCATCCTCGTCATATTTTCACCCTACTCCCCCTTGGCTGCGACAAAAACTACAAAGACAAATATTTAATTGAATTAGTGCAGCTAGCGTTAAGCTGACGCAGACAATGTGCAAGGCCACGCCCATTCCAGGCCTTAAATTTGAATTTTGTGTTTGATTCATCAACAGGTTCGTTACCGCTCGAAAGCTTAAGATATGCCGCCTTCTTTCCGTAAAAGTTATCCTTCCTTCATTCGGCTGTTCACTTGGCTAACCATTCTTATGTTAATTTGTCAATTCCAGAAGGCTGAAGGCCCAGCGGCCTTACTGTTTGCTACATATTTTGATAATTACGCCTAGGCTGTCAATTGATCCCAGCCCCGCCCAGTAAGTTAGCCCTTTTTTAAGTCTCTGCCGTTTTGAGCCTGTCAATTTGGCGTTTAAAAATAGCCACGGACTGGTGAAAAACCGCCCTTAGCCACCGACCTCGGGGGTCATAAACGGAGACATTTTTTGCGCATTGTTGAGTTCGACGGTTTTTCCACCTCCGCGAACGGCACCTTTAATTAGCATAATTGGTGACATTGAAGCGGGCCGCGGACCAGCCATCAAAGCATTATGAATGTGCTCAAAAGCCAACCCGCAACGGCACAGAAATATTCGCTGCTAATTAAATGTCGGGCCTAATCAATTAAGGGCTCAACCCCGTTCACTGGCCAACGCAAATAAATAACGAAGCAGATGAGCAACCAAACCCAAAAAGAAAATGCCCCAGCTAAGGTTTAAATTTTACATTAGACTAATTCAGGACGTAAATTGCCGAGTGTCTGGGCTGCATACGAAAGACGGAGACCATCATACCCATTCTCATCCGCAGGTAAGTGAAAATTCAATTTAAATTGATGTCGACTGGCCGGGGGGTTTAGTGAAGGAGTGTATATGCCATTTAAGTTAAGTACCCTGGCCATATACTCACCCGCTCGAACGCTTTCCACTGCTTGTGGGAACGTAAAATGGCTAACAAGTGGCCGGGCATTTGGGTCCTGTGGCCACACGGCTGCCCATGACTGCGAAATCAGCGCTGGCAGCCGGCAGCCGCCAAAACAGCAACATTTTTAAAAATTCATAAAAAGGCCTTAGTCGGCAGACAGCGGCAAGTGAGAGTTGGGGCACCTTTGGCGTTTGGCTGCGGTTGTGTATCCGGGCACCTTCATTTTTCAAGTGTGTTTCAATTTTTGCACTTGCTACCCAAGTCCCGCCTCGAAGAACCCACCTTCGAAGTAACCGCCTGTCGGTGGTAATGAAATTACAATTTTTATAGGCCAGGCCATGAAAAATAAATGAGACTTAAGCACATTGCCTGGCACTGACTAAACTGTTTTCCGACCGGGAAGCTCGGAACAGGAGATCCTGGGATGGGCGCCACATACTCGTGGGCCATTCAACAAGTCCAGCCCGCCCTGCGAGGCCTACGCACGGACATAAATATGCTGGCTCGAATCCCAGTTCTGATCAAACGAAAACTAAAGTTGAGACCTTTTTTTTTGTTAAACTGAGGGTATATTGGGCAAAGGTGGGTGAGGTATCTGGGTCATTCTGCATTTTTGAGAGTGGTACTTGCGTTGTCCATACCCTTGCTGCTTTGCTTGAATTTCAATTAACTTAAAAAAGTTTTCAGTTCGGAGGGAAAAACGTTTTCGGTCGGTCCCTTTTAACAATTTCCCTTTTCCCTTTTCCACTCAAGCGAAATTTATGCTGCCAGCAAATCGTTGCCTACTTTGAAGCGCAGCGGGTGGAGAACTGAGAACTGCGGCCACATTTAGTTTAGTTAAGTGCATTTGATTTGGCATCCAAATACCCACGGGGCGGTTTAACAGCATGGAATTGCAATTTATTGAATTATCCGGTACAGCCCAGAAATGTCAGGGACGATAATCGCATTATGCGGCCAGCTCAGTTCATTTCGAACACAAGCATAATCGGTCATTGGTCGACTGGCGACTAGCAATCGAATTTGGGCACAGCAAATTCCACTACACGGTCCCGGTCACGTCGCATTGTGGAGCGTTTTTAATTAGTTGTGTCGCCAGCTTCCCGAATCGAACTGGCCCCGGCATTTAATTTAATCACGCGCTGCATGCTGTATATGCGTCAAATATTTGAGCAGCCAAGGCTGTCGAAATTGCGTATTCGCCATGTAGGCCAGGAACTCAGACCCATTGTCTGACGACCTCAGATCCTGCGGGATGCTCTGCTGCCGCCGGCTGGCAAATGTGTTGACGCATTTTACAATACACACTGGGACCAACATGGTGTGTGCGTAATTATGAATTCCATAATCATTTCGTTAATATGCGCAGCACGCAGGATAAATTGCAGCAAAGGCAAGCAAGTCGAGGTCTCTGGAGTCGCAGGCGGGCTGCTCATTTCATGTGCGCTAATCCTGTGGGGAATTAAAAATAATTTGGGTCGTTTTGGTGTTATGCTCCCCTACCTTCTCATTCCCCAGGACCTTTATCCTTTCTCCAGCTGGCGTTTGTTGTTTGCCATTTGCCGTTAGCCGTTAGCTGGCAGGTGTTTGCCTCGGATCCCCAGTGCGTGTGTAGATTATGGCTTAATTTTTAGTAATTATATTAACATGATTAAATTTGTTTTGATTTCACGGCCCTTGCGGTGTGATAAAAATTAGTAAAAAGCACTGGCGAGGGGCGATAAATAGAATTAACCGATATTGGAAATTCAGTGGACGGCTAATTAGCCCGAATAATCCAATATTGAATGTGAACACTGCGGTCGGCTTAGTTTAGTCGAATATTTGGCTTCCGCCGGGCAATCCCAATACAATGCAAATGCACTGCAGAACAGCCCGGGGAAATTATTTTAATAAACCAGCAATGTTGGCTTCTGCTGGTTCATGTGTGTGTTTGTGCTTGTGCCCCCAAGTGTCGGGGTGTGGGCGAGCGTGCTTTGTTATTAATTAAAAACGCACATGTGGAACTCATTAAATGCGCACAATTTGCAAGTTCATTTTTATTTTTATTGACTCCCCCATAACCCGTTATTATGGCAAGTAGCTAACGGTTTGTTCTCGCCCATTAAGGAACAGCCAGCGGCCATGTGACGACAGACATGGATTGCGGGGGGGGAAGGGGAGGGGCTGCCGAGCCAGTTAAATTAAAAACAAATCTGAAATTATGCAATTAAATTCGCACGTTCCACAGCCAAATCGTTAAGCACAAAGGCAACACGAACGGGAAATAACAACAAAGACGCACAGAAACAAAATGTTTCTAAAATTATTATCAATTATCAATTCATCACAAAAAAAAAACCTTTCAAACATTTGATATTCTTGCATAAAAATAATTTTAGCGGTGGCAACATAATCCAAGCGGATTTATTAACGTAGACTGATTTCATTTTATGATAATTATAAAACCGTCAAATACAAATTCATTTTAAAGGAAAACGTATTTCAATG